ACAAGAACTTGGTGATTATCCTAATGATTCTGTCATCTTGTACAAAGAGCAAAGACGAACTTTTACTTATAAAATTATCAAAGAAGGCATTTATCTACCAGCTAATATTCTCAAATATACCATCGCACCTAATAAATATGAGATACCTGACAATTATATTATAGAGACTACTTGGGTCACAAGACAAATAAGCAAACTGTTAAATTGCAAATTAATTATGTTATCAATACACCCACTTTCTATGTCTATTTTGGATCAAAATATCAAAATTATGTTGTTTCAAATAAATCGCCTAGTCATGCCGCAGTATTGTTACATCAGGTATGTAGAATAATATGCATTTAAAATATTTATTAAATTAAAATTTAAGATTAGCATTACTAATACATATTATTATATAGCGAATTACGCCTAATAAAAAATCTGCAACTTCTGGAATTCTTTTATTTAGCTTACAATTAAAAAAGTTAATTATAATCAGCAGAGACTAAAAAAAGCTAGAACATTAAAGCTAGTAGAAATGCTTACAAATTCTGCACTTACCAAACGTGCTATTAACTTTTCTAAGATGATGCATACAAATTTCTAATCTTGTACAAACCAATTTTATCATTTAAATGATAAACCTGTATTAGAATCAATTCGATATTCAGTAAAAAAACATACGTATGAAGTCGATTATGGTATCAAAGATCCAAAAAAATTAAAACAAAAACAGGAATCAGTTTGTCGTGTACAAGATGAAAGACGTATTTTCTGCGATACTTATAGTAATCTTGCAGCAATTGAACTGCATTTACCTTGAATATAGACGATTTATGAAAGAAGAAAACAGATTACACAAAATATAGCTAAAGTAGTTCCAATATCTGTAATTGATATACAAACACAAGCTCAAATAGATCCAACGGAAGAGCCTGATATTACTGAAGTAGATATTATAGAAAATGTTGTTCATTCAGTTAGAAAATGTGGATATAGAAGTATCATTGATATTCTTAAATTCATAATGCCAAAATTAATTGAAAAAAAAATTCTTAATTTTCCAAATATTAGGCGACACAAATTAATATAATTGATTTTCATATCCCGGCCGGGTCAGTGAAACGGGATCTGAAATTTTTTT